ATAGCCAACCGGCGGTCACAACAACAGTCACTCAGCGAAAGTCTCAAAGTCACGTTGGAGCCAACGCGCGGGCGGTAGCGGTTGTATTTCCGTAAAACAAACGTTTGTACAGCGATGTGACTGATAATGATGGGAAAAAAGAAGATACTGAGCATGAAAAAGAGCAGTTTACAAGTGCTACAACCTCGTCCATCACACTGTCATCAGAGCTAACGCAATTCCAGGAGTAGTATATTGCTCCACAACATCCGTTGCCCGAGTCCCTAGAGGCTGTACATCCCGCAACATTATTTTTCACTTTATGGGTGCGAAGTACATGCCGAGCCTGGATGGCTTTGACCAGCTTTTCTAACAACGCTTGCGCCGCCCTCCATTGGATATCAGTGGGAAAAATATCGCATATTACATGTCGCAAGGTTTTGGCTCAGAGATATCCAAACACCTGGGTTTTGGAGATCATCCAGAGTTCGTCTCGTTCTGTCTTCGATGATAAAAGTAAACACATACAGAGGACGGATACCATTCTCCGACCCCGTTGCTTGTAGAGCAGCTTTGGGGCTCGAGTTAGCTTAGTGGTTAAGGTGCCAGTTCACAGACTGGAAGGTTCGTGGTTCGAACCCAACCTCAGCATGTCTATTGCTCCCGCTTGGGCCTGGGTAACCTGGCACTATCCCAGCCCTCGCGCTTCCTTCCGTTGGCGTAAAAGATCAGCACAGAAAGAGTGCTGCGGCTGAACGATATGTAGAGGAGCTTTTAGGGTGTTCCTCATACAGTATCGCGCGTCCACAAGTACATGGACGGTACACTGATAAAGTAGTAGTCGTTCGGCTGTGCCTAGTTGCCATTTCACCCAAAAGAAGCACGAGGGCTGAGATACTGCTAGACTGCTCAAGTCTAGACTGGTTAGAAATAGGGGCCAGAGTAACCGCGTAGGAACCATTTACCAGTTGACCGTGATGGCCTTTGAATTATCCAACACAGTTAAGATACATTTAACACTTATCAGGAGATCGATGTGACTTCAAGCTCGCCTGCTTTGTTCAGTAGCATTAGGACTAGATAATCTATACTGGCATGCGCCGTGAGGCTAGGCCAGTTCCCAGCGATGATTTGGGTCAAACTACTGAGCCATTGGCTGCGGGAAGGGTCTCTTACAGAAACACTGCACGATGCCCTGTGAATCAAACTTTTTGTTGGAAGGCTCAAGGTGGTGTATTTCACATAAACCTCTTCTCCAGCCTAGACAGCCGTAAGGTGTAATACGCCCTTGCAGCTCGTTCGGCGATTCTCATTCACCCATCCTCCTCGCACATCAAGTAGTGTTCGCTTCAGTCTCCAAGGTATAAATCATGTGCGAAGGATACCGGAAGGTGGGATAGCATGGGAGATGCAGCCGAGCGTTGGAGGCGATGGCATGTTAAGTTAGTTCGAGAATGACTTAGATATGCATTGAATGCGATAGATTTGATATACAGGTGCCACTGAGCCATCTCTGCTCTTGTCATTGACCACCAATGGGAGTTCTCACTCTTATTCCACTCCCACATCATTTTTCATGTCTATGCTATCTTCCAGGAAAATAAGGCAGAACAACCCTGTACCAAACTCAAAAGATCTTATCCATATTGCTGTCTTCCTTGTCCGTACTCTCCATCGAATGGGGTGACGGAGATCTCCTTTTGAAACCTTGCTTTCCCTATCACTCGATGCATGGATACAAGGCCCCACTTCGGGTATGCACCCCAGACCGTGCGGGGTCCTTGGCCGAACACTTAGCCACAATTCTCGTGGCCATTTGCTACTGAGTCGGATTGTCAAACTGCACTAGAACCCCGAACAGTGAACCTATAGCCCCCTATGACCTCAGAGGCTTGTGACTACACGTCTACTTTACTCTCGTCCCGATGGCCCGCATTGTTCCAGGGCGGAGGTGACGTCCTCATTCAGCACCTGAGGAATGACATTATACCAGACAACTGGGGAGAATTGGTGATAGTGCCTCTCTTCAGAAAATGAGCCCGTAGAACATATGGCTTCAGTTGTAACAAAAATCTTGGCGTCAACTTTCCTCCGTCGCGGAGTTGACCGGTCTGTTCTCCTTAACACTTGCTCAGCAGAGAATGCCTCGTAAGCGTATGAATACAGTGCATTGCGTTCCAGACTTCCAGGCACGTGAGAGAATACGGTGAGCCCTGCAAAAGCTTCCGTACACAAAGTGGTGTCCGACAAGGATGTCCATTCTCTGCATTCCTATTTAAATTCATGATCGGCGAGGAACTGAAGCACATACTAGAAGGTCTTCGAAACACTTGTGTTCAAATAACTTGCGGCGAAAGCCTTGTCGATATGGAATATTCAGCCGACTTCGTTCTTGTCTTCGAAGCGAGGATTGAGGCACAAGTGTCTTTGGATGAACGAACAAAAATCATCCCATCCTTTGGCGTATGCCTTTCACCCACAAACTGTGAGGTCGTGCTTCTGGACATGCAGTCACTGAACGTACCACTTACAATCGAAGGAGGTGCACTCGAGGCTGTGAAGCGATTATAGTGCAATAGATGAAAATGCACCAATCTCTAAGGCTCGGGTTGTGCTTTTATTGATTTGAGACATCCATGACGGCAAAGCGGCAATTCACTGATTCTCAAGTGACATGTGTATCACGCTATAGTAAGGGCTCTTTTGTTGTGCGATTGTGTGGTCTCTTTGAGCAGCGGAAATGAGATGCCTTCGGGTGTTCGACAACCGTTGTCTCAGAATTGTAGCTTCTGTGGATGGATGTCTTCGAATCCGTAACGACACAGTTAGGAATCGAGTGTCCGGTTTTGCAACGAGGACTTCAATCGAAGGTTGTTTCCAGCACCCTTATGTGCGGCGGTTAGGCGGATTGTCGTTTGCCGAAGAGAGTGCTGTTCTGCGTACCCAATTTAGGGTGGCGGAAATAAAGAGGTAGTTTACTTTTGACCTGACAAAGAGGTCACTATTCATGTGAGACATACTATGGGCATTCGTAAAGTTTGCAACCCGTTTGTTGTCGTTACCGCGGCATTTGGTTACGCCTTGTTTTTGTCCCCTTCGGGCACTTCTAAGCCCCGTGTAGTATGTACCCGTGGAATAGTTTCGCTCTCTATGAGGTACTACTCATTCATTTGGCAATAACCATTGTCATGAGCCCGGAAGCTTGGCATTATTGGACAGTTTGTACTCTGTGCATCAATATGGTGGCCTTTTTGGATTCTAATGGTTCAGACTCAGCTTCAGCTCGTCTCATGGTCATTCGTGGTCTCATGTCTTCCGCGACTAACAGGAATGTAAAACTGGACTGACCTGGGCGTGAGTGGCCATTCAGTATTGTAACCCTGTTGTAGCAACCATGCTGATTTCGAAAACAGCCCTCCTGTTGTGCTAATCTGAGAGTTTGTTCTTACTTCAAGAGCGCACCGCTGCTTCCCTTTTACCATCTACTTTAGAGAGCAGATTTCTATCCATTCGTGCGGGGTATATTGGATCCAACCAAATGAAACACCTGGGGCCGTGCTGTGTTCTACCCAATGGAAAGCCTTGTTCATTTTTGTGAACACCGTTTGTACTGTCTTTGGTTCAAATCTCAAAATCTCCTCCACCCAATTATTTCGCCGAAAGGCTTGAGGAGCCAATTGAACTCGTTCATCTACTAACCTTTCTTCTTTGAAGACGTTATTCTATCACAGCTCGGTGGGAATTCATGGTTAGAGTCTCATTCTTGTGTTACATTACCGTTCTGAAGTACCGTAGCGTTGCTTACTGAGCGCCTCAGCTTGTTGAGGCGTCATAATTGGTCAACGTCATAATTGGTATTGCTCTTAGTTATTTTTAGCCTATCTATTGTATTTACTTCCGTTGGGGACCTTCAGCGAGATGACCCAGGTGCCTTTCAAGAATGACGGGAGTTTTCTGGAATTATTCAAACAGATGCAAGGTATATCAACTCGAAATATTCCATGGACTAATCACTGAATCTTCAGCGGAACAGGAACGAGTCTCTTTGGAACAACCCAACTCGGACCTTGTGAAGGTCAGTTATCCAACTTTTTGGCTATTGTAATGGTTTTACAGGCTGTCTCAGCTGGATGCACTAATGAGGATGTGGGGCAAGTGACCTTTGTTAGTATTTAATTGTAGTGTTCCCCATTCAATATAGTGGCGAATCCAGTTTTGAAAACGCAGGTATGTTACCGTTTGTCTTGCATTCCGAACCACCACTATGATTTATCATGTTCTAAGCCGGTTGTCTGCAGTTCCTCCTTCCGATCCCAAGGTACTCGTGGCTATTGAGGCGCTTGTACTACGTTTGCGGGGACTTTCCAAAGCACTTTGTGATGTGGAAATAAAAAAGTTTGAGGACAGTGTACAGTACTGGTATGTGGAGATTCGTTATGTTTTAGAGTATTAATTTGTTTTATCGAAGGTTCCTAACATTACCAGAGACAAACGAGTACAAATTTTTTCGCCGCCGTCTCAAGGAAGTGCGGGGACCAAAGACGACTAAACCGGCTACCACTCCTCTGTGTGACATCCCGCGTAAGTTGACACGACGCAAATGCGTGTATTTCACGAGTGTCATTGTGCATTTTATCCCTCGGGTGCAGATGGCAGGGGTAATCAATTTCGATTTCTCGTAGGCTCTTTAGAACTCCTGGCCTCTTCTTCTCGTTTCAGACCGAAGTTTCATTTCGAAAGCTGCGCGGCTCGTGCCTAAAGGCATAGCTTCCATATTTTTTTGGGAATAAGCAACGATGCAAAACCACGACAAATTTGTATGAGTCTGAACCACTCGTGTGCAGATTGCCGTTCAGCAGTATGATGACATGTCGCCACTACTTCTCCAGCCAGTATCATGTAGCGGTTGCAGTGCAGCTCATTCCTTTTCTACGTGCATATATTTCGGTATGCATTTCATTGGTTTTAATCAGTTTTTCTCGTGAACCTCTATGATATGGTACATTCTCGCAGTTGCTCGTAGCTCGACTGCTGTTATCAAATACTGTCAATGATAACGAAGCATGACAAGAGGTATACCGAACGTGTGCGAACACGTGGGCGTTTTACTGCGTTACCCACGTAACAATAAAATCAGTAATGCACGTTAGCTTCGTTAGTCTGCATCTACCTAGATGGCCTGAAATTACTGACCGAAACGGAATGTTACAGCTCAAGGTTTACCACTATTATCACTCACCTAACCAGTGCAAGACTATTCACAGTGGGCAGCTTTCACCCAAGTTGGATTCTAAAATATGGTTTATTTTCTGACTAGTAACTGCAACAAACCTTATCATCATCTTGATTGTCAGCTGTGAGAACCGCGTACCTGCCACAGTTTAGCTCACTGATGATTTGGGGAGGTGAGGTAGATAGTTGCCCATTGGGGGCGGGAGCTGATAAATTCGTGCATATATACAGCACTGTCAGTGGACTGTAAGCGGGGGGATTGGGAAGGGAGCTATGCATTGAAGGCAGTAGCTTGGATGCACGAGCGCTATTCAGGGCGTGACTGCGCCATGTCTGACAATGTCTGACCATTGATGTGGCCCTTCTCGGGATCCCCACCAATGGTTAGATGGGGACCCCGAGAACCTTAGGTTTGCACAATCGCTGTGCACCAGGAATTCTGTAATTATGTGCATATTGGTCTCACAAAATGCACTTACCTAAGTTGAGGACTTCTTCGGATTCCGGAGTAACTGGTTGTCGAATTTCTTATGCTGGTTCTGTACTGTTGCTGACGAACGAGGCGGACCTATTGTACACAGTTATATTACTGACAGTAGGATGGCAATAGCTTCTGTGATCCACTGCACTGCGCTAGGTTTTCGGCCTCCCATTTCAATAGCCTCCTTATTTTTGTCCTTCTTCCTAATTTTCGATCTCTCGAAGTATGCTTATCGCATTTGATTCACCTGTCAACCTTTAACTTAGTTCCACCCGCTCCAGAACCGAAATACAAGGCAGAACAACCAGATTCATGTACGACCAGAAAGCGCGCTTCTCGTTGGGGAGATTCACCACCTCCGAGTGACACAGTGCTTAAAGTTGAAGAACCCACAACTGACAGCGCACTGGACCATTCCGAAACCATCGCGAAAGCGCTTGCTGCAGCAAAGGCCGCTGCTGCAGCGGCTGGAATACAAGGTAATCCATAGTCTACGGTTCCCTCTCCTCGAAATTTTCACCGTTTATGGTTAAGAGTTGGGAAGTATCTTTTAGCACACTGACTTTTTTCCACAATCTTTTCATTCCCATGCACCTATCGTTCATGATTGCTCGTATATCCTGGTGTCATAAATTCCCAAAGAATCAGTTGGTGAAGCCTGCACGGTGCAAACAATGGCAAACCATTACTGCCATAAATGAAGCTGAAAATGGTTGTCCTGCTGCAAGTAAAATAGACCAATAATACATGTTGTCGAAGCTGAATCTTGGTTTTTCTCGCTTCCAAATGATCGGTGCACAGTGATGAACAGAAAGTGGACACCATCACCGAACTGATTCAACTCACTTGAGCGGTATTCTCATGCCGCACAAGCAATGGACCTGTAACACACGCAGTCTGAAATAGGGAGGTATGTCGATGGTAGAGAAATATTCATAAATATTTTGTGGATTTAATTCTTTGAGACAATCGTAATGTGGAACTTCCGTCGGAGTGAACTCCCACCTTCCAGCAGTGTTTCGAGAATCAACTAGTCAGCACATGGGGGCGAGGTGGCCCAAGTGGTTAGAGCGCAAATTTACTGACCGGAAGGTCCGTGGTTCGAATCCGACCTCCGCCACTCGACTTCCCCTGTCTAGGCTTGGGTAACCTGGCATTATCTCAGCCCTCGTGCTTCCTTCGGATGGCATGGCAGCTAGGCACCAGAAGGGTGCTACAGCTGGACGCCCTAGTCAGCACATATTAGCACCATGTTCCGATTGTTGCGCTGATGAAGAGTGTCTCAGCACAATTTGACTCTACTTAGGTAGACTTTCACGAGACGGGTACATTCCTCAGTGGCGTTCGCTCCTCTGTAGCAGCCCGAACCATCGTCACACCTTGAAACTATACATACCAATTGTCTGCTTTATGCTTCGCCGTTTCTTCGGTTCTGCCCTCGACTAGACAACCATGTTTTCTATAGAGGAAAATGTTGGTAGCTCAGGTATCGTAGATGGTGGTCGTTGGCTTGTTCGCTGAGCTGGGCAATTTGATTGTAGTGCGTAGCGCACTACTACGCTCCACAATAACGCACTGATGATGTCACTCACCAACAAGCCAACGACCACCAGACAGCCATGTATTGAAAGCCCTTTTTTTGAATATCCTTCCTGGTATGACCCTGTGGCCGTTCATGGAGTAGTTTACTTTGAAGTCGGTCCCTCTCTGACATGACCAAAGTTGTTTGATTTTATTTGAATCGTCACTGACAGGGAGCGCGTTGGTGAATCATTAGCCCTTCACATGTTGAGCCAGTGCATGCATGAGTCACTTAAACAAAACATTATTGATGAAAGATCAGATTAAAAGTAATCTGTATGGTTCTTTGTTGATGGGGCTTGTTCACGTTCCACCCAAAAGTGAACTCCTTGCTGGAGGGACGGTTATATGGTTTATCTGTGGATTCGAGTATATCTTGTTTTGAGTGTGACCAAATGTCTTTCGATGTACCCAAAGGATGCCCTACTAGTTCCTGTCTGTTTTCACCGACTGCTTAACCTATATTGAATTTTGGTCCGTAGAATTATAAAATTTTATGGTTTGTTTACATCCAGAAATGGTTCGCAATTTTCTCCCTGGATTCACTTTTTCAAGCTTGTTCAGTGGTGGAAAACCGTCTAAGGAAAAGTTTGTCGGCCTCCTAGATGCAAACCGAATCATGGTGAGGCGTTCTGTTGTACCTAGGGCAGAAGTGAGTTTGCAGCTTAATTCAACTACCGGTACATATAAACATCAAACGACTGATTCATCGTTGACAGATCAACACCACAGATGTATATGTGGCGAGCTTGTTGTCTGATCCTATTCTGTTCAGGACACTTTATCGAGACAGATTGCTTCAAGTAACCTCTTTTTCGAATGGATCGATTTTGGGTGGACCGCCCACTGAACACTTATCCATTGAGTATGCCGTTGAACGGAACCAACTCGTCTCATAATTCTCTTTGGTGTTCGTGCCGATATGAACGTCTGTTCATACATAAAAGCACATCGTTGAAGTGCATTGAGGGACCATACTTCGCATACGTGCTTAGTGGTCAAAACATAGGACTGAATCGTCTGGGACATAAGTTTTGGCTTAAGCCGCGCTCAGATGTCGACTTCATGGGACTTCCGAAACGTAAGGCTTGCCTCAAAGCGACACAGTGTTAATATGCTCAACACCATAGCAAAATTGTATTGATGTCGAAATTGCCTGTTCCAGAAATGCTTTGGAGCACAGACAAGTGTCTGTGTTTCTGTGCACCTGTCACCAGACGGCCAGGAAGGTTGCGTAGAAAGTATCGAGGAGTCAAGCTATTTCGAAGGAAGAGTGAACCACTCTCGTGGAACCCGCAGTTGTTCGTCCTTCGAATGTCCCACTCTGTTCAACTAGAGTCAGGTACATTCAGTAAAACCGTTGATGTAATAGAAGTTGGATTTCGCTTCTGCTGTCCGTCATCTATGTTGGTATTATCTGGTGCACCGGCAGAACCTAAATGTTCCTCTTGTGTCATTTGATACCTGCTTAAGTTTTGCAAAAAGTATCTGGACAGTATGGCTCAAGGTTTGTGCTCTCCATCAAACAGTGAGCTTCTAGGGAGAGTGCGCATTTTCTGTAAAGGGCGCTGTATATTCATAGGTAGTAGATGAGTGAAAGTTTGAATATTTTTAGCAATACCTGTTTTGCTCGGTATTCTCACTTGTTTATTGCCGTTCACTTTGCAGGCCAAACGGCAAAGAAATTCACCGGTGGAAATATACTGAGTGACGAGCAGGCGGAGCAAATTCGTTATCAGAAAGAGGTGAGACGATTGTCCGCTATTGTGTATCCTGAAAGTATTGCGACCTCATCATGTCTGGTGCATCCGTCACTTATTTGGTGCCCAGGCCGATTCATCATCGGAGCATGATCTTTAAGCTTACAGTGAGTGAGTTTGCTCTTGATGGTCTGGTGATGAAGGTGCGAATCTGCGAACCCAACCCTGGATTGATGACTTCCGCTGTCTAGACTTGGTTCCTTCGGATTTTATGACAGCTGCCTGCCAAAGTGATCTCTCAGATGACCGACTAAGCGGCACCACTCACAAACGTCTAGCTCCCGTTCTGTCATGTCCTGCGCTTCTTATTTGCATCGAATGCGTGTGGACCGTACCTTGATGTTGTATGAGTGTTACCATAATACAGCAAAGATAGGCTAAAACCAACCTCTCCTCCGGTACGTTACTCTTTGCTACGGGACACCAAAAAGCCACGGATTCGTATCTTTCTTTCAAAATCACTGCCCATCTGATCTGCATTGACTTCGGAGGAATTTGATGAGTCAGGTGACACACAAATCTTTTGTGACTGTTCTGTCACATTTCATTACTGATCAAATTTAGCAATTGTTTTCCCTCCGACCAGTTTCACAAAAACATGATCGTTTTGTAATTATCATTTGAGTACTCATTTCTATGCGGAACCACCTCTCCTTGTTGATTACGTTTGTCCTCATCCCAATGTAAGACTTCCCAATCAACCGTACTTTTTCAAAACCCAGCAATATCTGAGCGATAACCATGAGAACATTTCCAGTTCCTCGCTAATGTTGCCATCCCAGAGTGCGAATCACTTTGTGTCCTCGGCTCTTCACACCCGATTCTTTTTTCCTATACAAAAAGGTCCGAAATTGTATATTACTTGAATACTAGGCCAATGTGAATCGGCTTTTGGTTTATACTTGGGTCAGTGAATTGAGTCCTTTCATGCGTTGACGATCTTTTACAAGCTGTATTGATCTCCAGTTCAGAAGAAGCGGCTCGTCCATGCAAGAGTACTGGGATGAGAAATCTCCATATGTAGTGCGATTCCTACTGACAGAAGCAACCACTGATCATATTACACCACTTCTTACTGCATTTTTAAGTATGTAGTATGAGTTAGCAATACATAACTGGAAGTTCGACTTCATTCAAACAAAACTCAGGTCTACCGCTGGTTCAGTTGCTTTCAAGAAATTGTTTTTTCCACGTCGATGTTCACATGCGTTCTTCCCACTGTTCGAAATTGACTTCCTGTCGGCACATTCTTGTCATCTTCAACTGTAAAAGCCTCGTACTTGCCACGCAGTGGTCATAACTGCCACACTTTCGTTCGTCGATGATTTGAAGGAGGTAAGGGTAGATGGCTACACATTGGAGGTGGTAGCTGATGTGATTGATGCTTGAATACAGGAGTGCCGGAGAACTTTCCATTTGGAAGCGCGGGAGCAGGAGCTATCCATTGAAGGCAACAGCTCGGATTCTTGCGCCCGGTTGAGCGCACGACCGGGCCATTTCTGACAATGTCTCTACCCATTGCTATGTCACGTTTCGGAGTCTCCATCCAAGGAGATGCCGACGACCAGCATAGTTGACTGTGCCAGTACTGGCTTTAATAATTTGCCGTCATGTCATCGTTTTATCCTCCGTGACTCCCCTGCACCCTTCATGCGATTGTGAGAAAGGAGCCTTCCGGTCGATTGATATACGGAACATGTGACCAAGCCAACGCAACCTATGCAGTGTGATCAGTTCCTCTATCGCGGGCGAGTTATTTCTTCCGAATACCATTCGACGTGTTTCAGCATTGCTGATCCGGTGTTCCCGCCAGACTCGGCTCCGAAGACATAACGGTCGAATTGAAAGACATTTGATGTCCTCAGCGCATAGAGGCTAGTTTTCTGATCCGTATAGTAATATGGAACGCACCGCAACATTGTAAATTCGACCCTTGATGGATGAGCTGATGTCACGCTTACACCACAGGTAATGCAGGTCCGCGAAGGCTGCTCTGGCCTTCCCAATCCGGATGGAAATATCGCCTGTGGCTGATACAGCTGCTCAGGTGGACAAATTTGTCTACTTCCTCAATCCGCTCATCAGCAACCATGAGGTCGGGGTTCGAGCCCACGCCATATGTTCCACAAGTCATCGCTTCTGGATTGTCTTACACAGAGAGTGAAATGTGAAGGAACTGAGTTCATCCTTGGCGTTTTGGGACACAATGATACTCTTGGATCCTGTATGTGTGTTTCGGAGAGACAGCGTACATTAATTTTAAGGGAGTATAAGGTCTCGGAGAGCGTTGCCTTTCGTCAATTTGACATAGAGTACGGACGTTGAAATCTCCTACCTACAAAGGATCTGGTAGATTTAGCGAATTGTTGTTTTGTTTCACGTTAATGTGCAGTGTGGTGTATAAGGCACGTCGGTCAGATAATCGATAAACGAATAACCCAGCATCTTTCGTTTGTGTTGTGCGAACGGGTAGGGTAGAGGCCTCTTCAGGCAAAGAACCCTACGAGCAACTGACACATCGCAGTTGCTCATCGGTACGCTACACACACTGTCAGTACAAATCATTTCACGAATTGGGGGCGAGATGGCCCAATTGGTTAGAGCGCGAATTTACTGACCGAAAGGTCCGCGGTTTGAATCCGACCTCCGCCACTCGACTTCCTCTGTCTAGACTTGGGCAACCTGGCAGTATCCCAGCCCTCGTGCTTCCTTCGGGTGGCATGGCAGTTAGGCACCGAAAGGGTGCTGCAGCTGAACGTATTATTATTTCACGAATTCAGGTTTATAATAACCACAAGTTGCATTGGACTTTAGTTGGTGTACACGATGCAACATAAATTTTCCTGAGGGAGGTTTGACAGGAGTTAATGATAAAGTACTTGTCTCACAGTTCTTGGAGGTGGTCATGAAGATTCTCTGTTGTGAACGTTTCGGCCAAATTCGTGCTTGTGAAATGTAGTGGCGTCGTATTGCTTACACCGCCCTCTGGAAATTCCACCGCAAAAAATAATGATTTTCTCCCATGCTGATCAGTTGATCAGATGTCAAAAGGTCAGATGTATCGGAAGCTGAACCGTTGTCTTTGTGGGTCAGATGTTTATGTATCGGAAGCTGAACCGTTGTCTTTGTTGTGATGACGTAGCAGTGATTGTGGCCTTATGTGTACCTACGTTTGTCTACCTATATGGAGTGGTATCTCGTCCGTTTTTGCCATCAGCCGGGATCAGATCTAATGCTCTAGCAGGTGAAGACAAACCAGTATCCATGGATTGGTCGATTCTCCACAAATGAATTGGTCCATCTTGAGCGTCATGCAAGCACGAATTCCAAATGGGATTTCTAAATGGCTCTCCGAATTAGCCGTGTGTGAAATCGTGTCCACAGTGGTTTTGGTTTTTGGCGATGGGTTCTCAATTTTCATTTTTCATAGGTTTTCGTCGTCTGCACTGAATAGTGGCTAGTTTTACCTATTGGTTCTCAATGAGTCATTGTTTTGTACTCAGTTGCCTGATTTGTCTTTTTACATCCTCACAGCTGCAAGCCATGCACGAATTCATCATGGCACAACAACGGCTGAAGTTGAAAGAACAGGAACTGATGGACCGTATTTCGGGTCCACAGTACAGCAAAAAGCCCAAATTGACCAAAGACGGTTTGGTGATCAAGTACGAATACGACTCGGATGAGGATTGCGAAGGGGGGACCTGGGAACACAAACTCAGGCAAGCAGAAATGGATGCAACCCGAGGTGAGAACAGAAGTTTTTCCCTTTTTCGAGAAATACACTTATTTGCAAATGAATTTGATTTTCACGGGGGACTCGACTGAATCTCTCGTTTATGATACTCTACAACTGAATGTGCTGCGCCAGGCCGCCTCACGTTTCAGTTGGTACGATGTTCGAGATATCGCGATGCATGTATAGACCTGATACGAGAGATTCATTTGGAAAACATCATAAAAAAAACGAGAGACTCAATTGACTCCCCGTTGACAACCAAATTGATTTGCAAATGAGTGTATTTCTCGAAAACAGGGCAATTTGGGTTCAAGTAGATCATAAGGTTGACGGAAACTCGGAGACTGCGCCTACTTGATGAGCCCCAAGAAGGGCGAAACCGGTCTTGGGCTGTTGAAGAGTTTTCGGCAACCTTGTGAGTAGTTTCCTTTATGAAAAAGGTTTTCCTTTTCCTGTCCGCGTTTCAGCAGTTATCACAGCACCGGCTTTATCGTAAGCGCCAGTGTGTGCGTGTGTGTGTGCGAAGAAACAGTCGAAAACCATTTCATTCATTGGCGGTCGTAATTCCACTTTCATGCTGTGTACTTGCTTCCCATAACTCCCAATGCTTAGTGCGGCTGGAAGGGAAACCATTGTGTACCTCGCTCACTTTTGTTGGATTCTAGTTTGTTCCCAGGACTGTGAGATCCATACTGTCCAGATGACTTGCGTGTATTGCTGGGGTTTTACTTCAAGACTTATGCACTCAGAATTTACCTGTACTGTAGAGATCACTGGTGGGCGATAATTGGTATTAAACCCTTTTTTCATCCAATTCGCCTTGGACACTGGTGTCATTTGGTTTTTGCCTGCCTCTCTCCTCTCCTAGGATGCCGTCGAATGTCTTTTGTCGTCTTGCTGACCGCCTCCACACACACACACAATAGTCTATATTCGTTGCTCGAAACCGACCTTTTCCCTTTCTTCCAATGTTCTCCTGTTTTGGTGATTGAAAATAATTTTTGCAAACAAACAACGATCTCTCTGGCCTTAGAGAGACAAACCAGTAAAATTTAGAGCTTATTGCCGCCAAAATGATATATACTTCTGATTTATTTTTCACGTGTTTAGAGTGGGCGGAGAAGCTTAACGAAATGGGACGTGGGAAGCACCATATTGGCGATTTCCTTCCACCAGATGAGCTGGAACGCTTCATGGAAACCTTCAGGGTACGTTCGAACCGGTATCTTTTTGATTAGCTTGCTTACACTAAGACATCATTTCAAGGACTGCTACGAAATCTGTCGCTCAGTTCACTGCGATCAGCTGGAAGCCGAATCGTTCACCAGTGCGCATTTTACGGACCTCTCGAAACGGCGACCCTCGGCTAGTAGTTTTAACACCTAAACGGTCGACCACGAGCGGCTGATCAGCGGTGTGACTAACTCTCGCGTAGACAGGGTATAGCACCACCCACCTCACGGAATCCACCTCGAGTGGTCATGTATTGACTAACTCCTTGACTGGCAACTTCTTAGATCGAAAGTTCACTTGTAAGATTTATTCTTCCTCTGAGCTACCTATGGGTTGTTCTTAGAATGGATGTGTAGAAATTTTCACTGGAGATTACGTCTTGTAAAAGAAACCGATCTGTGCTTGAGAACAAAGGAGCCTTGTGCAGCTGTTTATTATTATTGGGTATCGTCTGCAGTGCACATGACCAATGAACCTTTCATCTGAGAACTCGTCACTTAAGTAGTCCGTTAGCACGTGACCACGTAATGTAGATTTCCCGACCGAAGGATGGATGACGCTATATATCTTGTCTGAGTGTGGGTTAATCACAATGCTGATCAGTTGCTCGTAGTCGAACAACTGTGTTCAACTAATAGTCAGCAAATATTGGGTTCGAACCCTCCCGGAATTCCACGAGATTCGCACTGCTAAAGATTTCAAGTAAGGTGAAGCAGTTGTGCAGTCCCTCTCCGCTTTACTGCATAGATTGTCTTCCCTCACAGGATGAAATCTCCATTCTAAATGAATTTGCCGTTATTTGAAGCAGTGTAAGTTGCTAAACAACGAGTGGCTTGCGCGTAGCGGCATTTGGTGCCACACGCAAGCCGTTGATGCCAGGGGCCACTTGCTCAGAGACAATTGTCCTGGAACCAAGTCTGTGATATCCAAACGTATTTTTATCCGGACTGGTGCTTCCATTCTGAGTCATATACTTCCATAATTTTACAGGGTCCAAAGTGGATACAACAGCATCTTCGGCGCAAGGCGTTTGCGGCTTTTATCTCTCTCGTACAGTGTAGGCCTCTTCTGTAGGACAATCGGGAGTCGGATGCTTTAGCGGCCTTCATGTGACGGTCCAAGTGTAAACTGATCCGAAGTGAATTTAGTATTGGGACTCGAGCCTCTGGCCGGATGGTCCTCTCGATTGCCTCAGGCTCTTAGCTTGGTGGCCTTCAAACTCCTGATGCGTTTTTGGGTTGGACGACAACTGTGCTCTAAAGAAGTGTCATAGCTGAATGGTTTCCTTTCGATTTGTGCATCCTCAGTGGCCTTTTATTGTTGTTGTCTGTTTTTCAAGGACTCATAAATGTGCCCATGTTCACGTTGAAATGGTCCGTAGGTGGGATGTTTTTCAATTGCTGGAAATATGACTTTATTTCTAGTCAGCGTCGGGTTGTGTGCTAAAAGAGTCCTCAGTTATTACCGGACGCTCTTTTTACTTATGGTTAGACCTGTGCATAGTGTCGACTTTACCCCTTTTTAACCCATTATTGGTTTCTCTCTCTACCAAGGGACTGGTTGTTGGTGTTTTTCGCTTATTCAAGTTGGAGGAAATGGCTTCGATATCTGCCCTGCCACACCATCAGTCCTGTAAAACGTTTCTCTGAAGCAACAACCCTCGTGTTTTCCAACTGCATAGACTCGTACGCGTTACTCCTTGTCCAGCAGTTTATGGACATATCAACAACAGCACAGGCGTCCAGATTTTTTTAAAATAAATCTAACAGCCGGTTATTATGAGTTCCAATGTTGTGGGTTGCGAATCCCATGTTAGTCCTAGTCCCACCACCAAGGTACAGTGGATTGAGGCAGCCTAAGGGACAATTGTTACGGTTGTATTAGGGGTATCACAGAATCTTCCACAAGAACCTTTGTGATGGATCTAGGAGTGTCAGGTTAAATATTCTCGATACTGCTTGGCCCTTATTCTGACCATCCATGTCATGCTTATTGGTCCTTAGTTAGTTCGCGACACATCCGTCCAATTGACGTAGTGGCCGGTTATTTCGAGCTGATAACCCTCAGACGAATAACTATTCTCTTCGTCAGTACTATGAAGCTATACGTCTGCTGAGCACAACTAAACCTCTTGCTAATCTGGTAACATGGGTGAGTCCGAGGGTCTTGTTCCCCAGCATCTGTGTTGCTGGTGATTGTAGATGGGGAAATTGGCGTGTAACCGTGAACTTTGAACCCTAGCTTTTGGCCAGTCGGATGCTCACTGGCGAGTCAAACTTTGAAGGATTAGTTCGCTCAATGATCTCTTTATTCTGGGTGTTTGTCATTATCAACTCTTTTACAAATTCCTACTAAACAGGCTCTAAAAGAAGGTCGCGACCCGGACCTATCGGAATACAAGCAGTTCAAACTCACGTGTGAAAATGTCGGCTTCCAAATGTTGGAGAAAATGGGCTGGAAGGAAGGTGAAGGGTTGGGTTCTGAAGGCCAAGGGATTATAAATCCTGTTGGAAAGTATGTTCCACTTTTTAATTCCATGGTTGGACACCTGTCAGGTTTTTACCATGTTAGTGTGCTAACAAAATACACTTCATGGGTCTCAATTGGGTCTAACCAGGTTGTGTGCTGTGACGACCTGTTTATTAGAAGCAGCCGGTATGTAGTATGGTGTGCTTTATGTACGAGAAACAACATGGAAGCGCATTTAAACTTTCCAACTTTGAGTTATTGTTTACTTAGGAATCCGGTTTAAAACAAACCCGAAATCTAAGAGGGACGTGAAAGCTTCGTTTTCTAGGCAATATGAGGGCCAACAAATAGATCTACGGTCAATATGCCAGCAAAATCGGTGAGATGTACAAGATTTCAGTGCTCCACTCCCAATTTTTCTAGTTAGTGATTCAGTAATGTCTGCTTTTTTGCTGTAATTCTTGAGACAGGTTTCTCATCTGGGTAATTGAATCCTCACTCAATTACTTCAGTATCTGTCTCATTGTTTGCTATAGAAGAACATGTTAGTCGTTCAAAGTGGTCAACTGGTAATCTATTTACTCACCGAGTTTGGCAATTTTGTTGCAAATGTTTCGTTGTGACATTATCAGTGCGTTGTTTGCAACAAAATTGTGCAAATCAGTGTACGCCGCAGGCGACGACTGTAGTTGAGAAGGTTTTGTGGGACACAGTGAAATGTTGGATCTTAAGGGATCGGAGGATCAGTGGAAGTTCTGGAGGTATGCATTTGCAAACCAATTCGGTTTTGCGAGAGACTCACCGGGAACCCAACTGAATCTCTCGTTTGTGATGTTTCCAGTAGAACATAACGTTGATGGAAACTCGGGGACTGTGCCTATCTGATGAGCCCCAAGAAGGGCGAAACCGGTCGTGAACTGTCGAAAATTTTCTGGAGGTATGCTTATAGGAGGTGGACATGACGTTGGGAAACGTCTAGTAAAGAAGTAATGGGATGTGAAAAATATCCTTGTGTAAAGTTGGAACGAGCGTAGAAATGCATGCATGCGTCAGGATTCATTAGGATTTTACTAGATCTACCATACACAGCGATCCGGGAGTAAAGCGGTAATCTTCCTGCAGTTCTAGAGAGAGACTTGTGAAACAATACATCCGGGGAAGGAGGAATACAGAGGGTTTTTAGTTTAAGTCCGTAAAAAGTTGAACGTCGAGGTTGGACGCGGGCAGCTTGAATTTAGGATGGAACGATCAAGATTATTTTTATCTGATCGCTTATAGGTGGGTCTCTCGAGGTGCTGAAGTTTGATAACAGTGACTAGTTAGAAACTAACAAGGAGGTTGTCACTGGAAGGTTGGTCTCAAGTTATCTTGACTTCTCAGTATATTGCGTAAGGCATCGTCCATCGTCCACCAGAAGTTTTCATTCAGTACGGTTTGTGATCGCACGTATACTTCACACTTGCAATAGTCGCATTCAATCTCTGTGTCACCGGCGTATTTGCTCTGACTGAGAGCATCCGTGTGAGCATTTCCAATATGTACACATGTAAACCGTCACGAAGAGACTGGACCTTATCGTGGTGTGGCGGTTTGTGTACCTCGGCGACCCATTGAGCTTTACTGGGGAGTGTCCGCACGATGCTCACAGAGTCCCTCATACCAGGTTGGTCCATGGGTAGAGGTCCGACGAACACAGTCTCCTGGACCTCCAGGTTGGGGGTTGGAACATGTATGGCGACGTGTTCCGTAGAAAATGGTAATGTACTTGCATTTCCAACCGAATATCGCTGTCTTGCGGTTAGGCTTTTGAGCCAAAGGCCTTGGTTGAGAACCCTAATCGTCCTCCTGTCTAGGTGTGGGCGCCCTGACAGTGTCCCAGCCCTCGTACAACCATGACATGACATACACACATGTAAGAGAAAACGGGAAAGAGCGTTCTGTGAAACACCGGCGTCAGTCTTCGGTAATCAGGATACTGGGATTCACACACCTTTGAATTACTGGTGGTTCGTGAACTAGACCGGAACTAGCTTGGTCAGGTCTTGCCTACTGCCTGCATCGGTAAGGGGCTACTCTAATCGTTGATGAAAATGATAGTTAGTGCGTACAAAGGGCTGTTTTTGTAGGGTTTGATTGGGTTCTACGTCGTTTGGACTTCGGATCTGTTGGAGGTCACATCGTGGAACAGTATTTTGGTCTTTCTATTCAGAACTATATTTCATCCAAATAGATGCCGAATGTTTATGCGGCGGAATTTTTGCCTAGAGCCTTTATGTTTCGTTGCCGTTCGAGCTCAACATAGCCCGGTGAAGATTTCTCTTCGAGGCAGACCGCTTGATGGTCGTATAATTTGGCCAGTACAGCCCATGGAATGTCGCTGATTTACTTATCAAGCGCAAATTCTCATCCCGAAACCTTTCCTCTCAGCAGAAACCATCCATTCGTTGTTGGTCTGTTTCCCCAGCTCGAGTGTTGGATTTCAGACATTTCATCACCAATCGAGGTCATATCGTTAGTGCAGTGTTGAGTGGGTCCCAACTCAACCTTTAGTCAACCCAATCAATCCTTCACTGATCATTTTACCTCGATATGTGATGAACGTTTGCAATCCAGCCGCCTAACTCGACGGCCATACCAACAATCTAATCACACTATCGATCAGCTACTTATGGTTGGAAAGTTTAGCCCTTACTTACTTTCTGGGGTCCTTCGAAGATTCGTGGGATGCGCACTACCGATGATTTAAATGAGTACGCCGCAGCTGTATAGTAATTCCCAACCTTTCGGCATGGATGGACTTCAGAACAACAACCAAGCAACTCACCCGAATTACCTATGCTCTGCAACATCACCAGCAACCAGCCTTGTTTCGAGTCTTCTCTTGCGAAGATCCTCCATTTCTGACATACACACATGTAAGAGAAAACGGGAAAGAGCGTTCTGTGAAACACCGGCGTCAGTCTTCGGTAATCAGGATACTGGGATTCACACACCTTTGAATTACTGGTGGTTCGTGAACTAGACCGGAACTAGCTTGGTCAGGTCTTGCCTACTGCCTGCATCGGTAAGGGGCTACTCTAATCGTTGATGAAAATGATAGTTAGTGCGTACAAAGGGCTGTTTTTGTAGGGTTTGATTGGGTTCTACGTCGTTTGGACTTCGGATCTGTTGGAGGTCACATCGTGGAACAGTATTTTGATCTTTCTATTCAGAACTATATTTCATACAGATAGATGCCGAATGTTTATGCGGCGGAATTTTTGACTAGAGCCTTTATGTTTCGTTGCCGTTCGAGCTCAACATAGCCCGGTGAAGATTTCTCTTCGAGGCAGACCGCTTGATGGTCGTATAATTTGGCCAGTACAGCCCATGGAATGTCGCTGATTTACTTATCAAGCGCAAATTCTCATCCCGAAACCTTTCCTCTCAGCAGAAACCATCCATTCGTTGTTGGTCTGTTTCCCCAGCTCGAGTGTTGGATTTCAGACATTTCATCACCAATCGAGGTCATATCGTTAGTGCAGTGTTGAGTGGGTCCCAACTCAACCTTTAGTCAACCCAATCAATCCTTCACTGATCATTTTACCTCGATATGTGATGAACGTTTGCAATCCAGCCGCCTAACTCGACGGCCATACCAACAATCTAATCACACTATCGATCAGCTACTTATGGTTGGAAAGTTTAGCCCTTACTTACTTTCTGGGGTCCTTCGAAGATTCGTGGGATGCGCACTACCGATGATTTAAATGAGTACGCCGCAGCTGTATAGTAATTCCCAACCTTTCGGCATGGATGGACTTCAGAACAACAACCAAGCAACTCACCCGAATTACCTATGCTCTGCAACATCACCAGCAACCAGCCTTGTTTCGAGTCTTCTCTTGCGAAGATCCTCCATTTCTTGAGCTGGCGTTTTCCAGATAAACTCCTGCCATTCTACTAGGAACTACCAGGGATTTCGTCTCATCATAACGCCAATAAAAAGGTTGAACGGGGGATTAAAAACCTTTTCCGATACTACCAAATTTAGAGACATTTGTGATGAATAAAAACGACTTTAGATGGGCCATATTTCGGTTTTGAACACCACCGCTCGTCAGGAAGATAGAATTCAGGTCAACCCCGTTAGCTCAGTCAAAATTGCCCTTTTTTACTGGAGGAAATGTTGGAACACTTGTTACGAAGTATGGATGAGGCTGGCAATTGTTTAGCACGGTGCTTGTAGGAATTCTGGTTTCTTTCGTGCACGAACAGACCTGTGAGTCCGGGTTGTCATGTTTTCCATAAAACCCCTGCACTTCGATCGCCCAACACATAAGTATTCAACCTTCCCATCATGTTTTTTTTATTACGCCGGAACTTTCATGCCCTCAGTGTACTAATTTTGCACAATGTTTCCGTTCTGTTTCTAGGGGCAACGTTCATATCGATGGAGTGGGTCTCGGAGTTGAGCGTCCTTCGAATCTGGTGAAAGAAGACGATGAATATGATGCATACCGCAAGAGAATGATGTTGGCTTATCGGTTCCGTCCGAACCCACTGGTACGTTTGTAGTCGGATTAGTCATGGAGCCCTATTCAAAGTTCTAAGGCCACTCAATACCTTGAATACCATCTTTATAATTCGGTCTGGGTTAACTGAAGGTCAGCACTCCTCAATTCTCTAGTTAATATCGCTGTAACGAACAAACGGTATCTTCGAGTGACCTCCGGGAAGGCAAAACAAAGTTGGAGCTGGGTTTCTATACAGTACGAATAGTGTAAGACAAATTCACAAATTATACAAACCTCGACAGTAGGTACTCGTCCAAAACAAATGGCCCACATGGACCACAAAAGTACAAACCAAAGGAGCAAACAGGCTCCCACGTGGGACAATCACACGTGCATAAAGTCGGCCACAAATGGCTGGATAACCTCAAGGCCAAATGAGTAAAGTGGTAAAAACAAACAAACGTCAGTTTATATACGCACACTAAACACAAAGGTAGGGTGGGGGTTACAAATAGGGACAGAATAAACGTGGGGAATTTCAAATGTCAACGTAATGGACGATACAACTGCTTAAGTTATCGTTACAGTCTAGTTCTTATACCAGGTTCCAGTTCATTAGATGGATCATCTCCCTATTTATGTTAGGTTGAAATTCGCTAATTGAATAGCGATCATGAGTTCACTCGGTTGCTGAAACGTGGTTGCAAACATGCTACTGGGTCATGCTCTTGCAGTTCTGCTCGTCAAAAATGTCCCATACTTACCCAACTACTCGTTAAAAATACACATATGTCGTCCCACTGAGGTGTGTTGCACATTTTCACTGGATTCGAACGAACATCGATTCGTTCGCGTTACTTGATTTCATTAAAAGCCTTGTGAAACTTTTTTTCATATCTCGAGCTGTTAGTTTTAAACTATGGACCCAAGTCCATCTTTCGCATCAACCAATCGTTCCATCGTTCTCAACTGCACCTCACGATCTAAGTTTGCCTGTTCCAGATATTTACCGAAACGATATGATGCAATGCAGAGTGTGGCTACAGCTATACGGATTATCAAGCTCGAAAGGCGCATACTTTTACTTTGTGTGCAAATGTTTGAACCGTTGCTGAAATGATCCAATGAGGATTGAGTGTGCTGATCATACATCTGTCATAGCCAATCGCTACGCATATTTCAGTGGACGAGTGCTCATGAAGGCACCTGACTGCATAAGGCTCAGGAGAGCAACTTCCAAGGTTATATATATATATATGAATATATATATATATATATATGATGTACTTGATATGGAAATTTGAGTTCCATCTAGTCAATTCAGAAACGGAATTAGTCCAAGTATCTTTATGCGGGAGCTCAGCTCAGTTCAGAGGATAGGTCTTTCCGCCCGGCATTACAGGTGGATGTATTTTACGTTGTGTCTTGTCTACCGTGCCACACCTTGGTCTCATCTGGGACGGTCCATTTAGATGATGAAGCGATCGATGTGACTCATATAATTCGCTATCGAAAACGTTGAATTCCCCTTACGCATGTGAACAACACAGAAGGAAGACAGTTCATACATATTCCTCGATCGCCGCACACCGCAACACGGCAAAGAAGTAACGAACATGTGCGGTCAAGCACGTTGTGTATAAATGGGTTACTGAAGCTGTCTTATTCACATAAATGAGAGTAGGCACACAAGTTGTCTGGCGTTGAAGTTTCGCAGCTTCTCAGCGAAGTATTGAATAGAATCCTAACGACTAGGTATATGTCGAAATCGTAATGACAACTTTTAACCCGGTTTCATGCAGAGCGACCGATGTGCGTTCTTTTAGCGAGTTGCATACGGGTTATAGCAGCCCCGCGGGTTTTCGGTTTGGGAAAAGGTTTGTTCCTTGACTGGTCGACTCGCGTTCTCTTCTCACGCTGGGCTCAGCACATCGATATGCCACTCAGTCAGACTATGGTAGTACTGGTGACTGGGTTTGTGAACTTGGCTCTCAATGACGTGTGATCGAAGGTTGGAAACGGGCTGGAGGTTGAAAAGTATTCCGATCAGTACTTGTGAATCTTCAATCCCTAGGTGTAAGCCGAATATTAATTCCTACTAAACTAGGGTTCACAATGTCCAGACTTCACTCTTCACATTCGGTTTCTACCCCGCCTGATCTTTTTGGAGGTGAGTTCTAACGAAAGGAATCCCTTGAAATTCGTTCCACGAGCCCATCGGATTGTGTAAAGTCAAATATTGTATGTCATGCCGAAACACCATCTACCGAGACGAGTCTTGTTCTCCGTGCCTCCTTCAGGATGGCGCAAACTGCGAGGTGGACAGCACATGACTTGGTAGAAACGTGTCAAAGAGTTCACGAAGAGTTTGGGTGTTGTTGGTATTGTGCGACTTCCAGGATGGGGTCCCCGTGACCCTATCTGTGCTTGGCTGGAGGCGTTTCAAGAAATGGCGGCTAATCGATGTCAGTGGCGTTCGTGCTGTCAGGCTCTTTCCAGACTGTCTGATTGAGCGGTTGGAGGTGTAGGCACCTCAGTATGCTTGACATAGGCCAGCACTAGGTCCCCTCCCTCACCCACTCTTTTTCTCTTCTCTTCACTGTGTTTATGAAAGTCAAATAGGAATGAGACTGTTAGTAGGGTGCGTGCTTACGCAGAAACGGCCTAAGAATCGTACGGTACACCAACTAAGTTGCATTTTATTTCCTTCCTGTATAAGGTTTTCTCATCCTGTGTTGGAATTTTGGATCACAATCATTTTCTGCTTGTTGATATATGTCTTCGCACTACACTCTTCACCCTAACAGAACAATCCTCGGCGGGACTACTACTGATGCGGACCCGCTACTGACCTGTTCTGTGATCTGTTTCCGATTGGACGCAGCGGATTTCGCGTTTTTTCCACTCCTAAAAACCATGTACAGTCGGTGTATTTCGCCTTCCAATTATTTCTTTCAATAAACTCTTCATCCTTGAATTATGAATTTTCGATCAACCATGGTGGTACTTTTGTTTGCGTTCTCTCGTTTTTTTGGTGTACTGCTTAGGTTCTGTACAATGGCATTGGGTCCCTTGAGCTCTTTCGAACCAACTGTGAGGAATGATTTTTAACATTGGCGTCCTATATGAGATTTCCTCCGAGGACCGACCACCGTTTCCCATGTTATTCTCTCCCTCTATTGCGTGTCCTCTACTTCTTCCCTTCTTTGAATTGACATCTCTGTTAACTCATGTCCACACATGCACGACGATTGATCTAAGCTGCCCATGCGCCGTCTTTGTAGCCTGGAGTTGCCGCATAGAATAGGAATATGTTGACCGGTTCTAGACTCTCGTTGCTGGGAATAGGGATAAGATTCAAACCTGTGCCAGAATGGAATCACTTCGACGACGTATTTTTCACTCATCGGTTGATTTAGCATGTTTTCCTTAACTAACTAGATCTAGCCGATTTAGATAATTGGCTTCCGGGGGCGATATGGACCAAGTGGTTAGAGCATGAATTTACTGACCGGAAGGTCCGTGGTTCGAACCCGACCTCTGCTTCTCGACTTCCCCTGTCTAAGCTTGAGCAACCGGGCAGTATCCCATCCCCCGTGCTTCCTTTGGGTGGCATGGCAGTCAGGTACCGAAAGGGTGCTACAGCTGGACGAATTGGCTTCCTACATCAGTGTGGAATACTTAGGGTTGTGGTTAACGAATGCTCTTAGCGACGTTCTGGCTTTTGTCTGGAACGACATAGCGAATTATGTACTCTGCACAGCCGTTCGTTGAAAAGGATGGGGGCTTCTCTGAATTTTCACTGGCCTATGCAGTAGCTTGTTTCTATCGAGCAACCTTATCGTGTTTGCCTGCGAGTAACTATGAGCGATGCGATTAGCCACCCTCTTATTCTGTTAAGAAGGACATGGCATCCCGTAATCATATGAACCGTTTCTATTGGCGAGCTGTCTTTCTCATTTCTCATGTGCGATAGACCTGTCATGGATAGCTACCTTCTCACCACTGAGGACAATAGTGTCCACTCACCGAAACGGCGCCAGGCCTGTGAGTTTTTTTTTAGCTGATGGTGCTTCTGTTGAACTGATCTCCGTTTTTTCGGTGTTACTAGTGTGCATATTTACGATCGTGCTCCATGCTAACTGCTAATGAGTCCACTGGCGAGTTGTGAGATGGTGACTGTCGGACCCTAATTTCCCTGGGTCCATGTGCGCTTTCGATTTTCTAGCGTATTTTCTACATTGCTTGTAGTATGGTTGGCTCCAGTTTTCCGAGTTGGTGTGGTGTCTTTTGAACGCGACTACCATGTGACTCATAAGAAGCGGTTGGTGCTCGATTTTGCCTAGTTGCCCCGTCAGGGACCTCAGTAGGGGGTATAACTAGGTGGGAAGCCTTTCTGGTTTGTAACTCCCGTCTTTGTTAACTATTCATCGACAAAGGATGCATTTTCCAAGTGCATTTGACACCCACTCGTAAGGAATGATGTGCTACTGCACCCAGCATTTTCGGAAAAGAATGAATACCAGTAGGGCCCTATTTGGGGTGACATGTTCGGATTTACCGAGTCTATAGAGTAAACGGTAAGGTGATACCTCATCCGTCAGCCGTCTTCGCGTCTTTTCCGGTAGCCTTGAGGTCAATGCGTCTTTGTCGCATGTGTGCGTGTTGCTTAGATCGCCGCCAGTTTGACCATTCTCCCAACCAGCCGTTTTGTTTTTGTATTTGCTACCTTCACGGAATGATGCTTTCCAACGGCTGTTCTTTTCACTCTTGGCTGCTGCTTCAGTTTGTTTGGTTTGTAGTTCTCCTTGTTCCCCAACCCAACTGCTTCACTTCAAGCCATTGGTTTCTGAACTGCTCGGGGTTATTGCTGTCTAGCTTTCTAAACTTAGGAGTTTGTGTATCTTACTCGTTAGTGTAGTCTTCAGCTTACCTTTTGTCATGGTTCTGGTTTATAACGTGTGTGGAGGCTGACGTAGTTTCCAATCTTAGGTGAAGTCATCAATGCTTATCTCTGTGGATCGAGTAAGTTGACTATTCCACCTTGAAGCAGATACGATTTCGAAAACGATGTTCCTGCGTAACTTTGAGCGATTGAAGATCAGCACCCCCAGATATTCCGATTCAGTGCCATTTACGTCCGATGTTTTCGCTGACACACGTATGTTGCATGTGAAGCATCAGAGACTCCGTACGGCATCGTTCTGCGTGTATCGAAAGTCCTGTTTGGATTGGTTGAGCCTGATTCTGAACACATTGCACTTGTTGATGTAAGCTAAAACTTCACAAGTTCGTTCGGAATCAGTTGGATTTCGATGCACCACAAATCCAAACCCGACTGCCCGTCTATGACAACGCCATCTGGGAAAATGAAGACCTTTTCGAACTTTCGAACATTTCGTAGCGTTACATAGGGATTCGAGGGCACTGAAAACCTAAGGTCGCATGATCCGGAATGTATCATCATGCCAGGTTGTCGGTTACGCCACCTCATGTTGCTTGTGCACTAGTTAGCTGTAGGCTAATTCCAGTCAAAAACGCATTCGTTGTGGCTCTGAACCCAAATGTATTTCTATGTCACAGTCCTGATCCTTGATTGGGTAAGACTCAGTCATCCAACTCGAAGCTCGGTCCTAGTGGGCGACCTTCACCTTCAGTTATGGAATTTATATCTTACGCGGGCTATGCATCTGTTGTTAACCCTAATGATCACAATCTTTGTGGAGAACAACAGCTTGCGCGGTTTTTCATACAACCTCAGCGTTAGTCTTCACATTTGGCTCAACGTCTGTGGCTCCATACCATGCGACCGACGAATCCGATTTGGATGCCAGCCGTCCATCTTTGGCAGTATAACAGCAGGCATTCATTGGAGCTACTTAGTATACTATCTGGACTGGCATCTCATCCAACCAGTGTCGGGTGGGTCATTTGCACTTTTTGGGGAATACTGTATGTCGACAGACCAACCAGAGGAAGTTGACAGTGAAGTCAGAAGGCTGATTACTTATTACATTCGTTCCATCATTAGGAGGGGGGTGGGGAGAAGAAATCATACTTCAGAAACCATCGTCAAAGATAGGAGATGCATCCTTAAATAGAATGTTAGTCCAGAACCGGACACATGCGTTTTGCAACACGTTAACAGATTTTCACTGGGAATGGAGGGCGCTAGTACAACACTCATAAGTATGACTGAGCTTTTGGGGTTATGCGTGTGGTGAGCTCGTATAGGTCTTACATTTCAAATCGTGCGTTTTTCGCGTTCCACTGAATGTCATCTCCTTTGCATATACCGTATCTTCCATTTTAGCCAGGAGTTCAAGTAGAATAACCTCTTCGGTCATCGGTTCCATCATTGGAGGGGGGTGGGGAGAAGAAATCATACTTCAGAAACCATCGTCAAAGATAGGAGATGCATCCTTAAATAGAATGTTAGTCCAGAACCGGACACATGCGTTTTGCAACACGTTAACAGATTTTCACTGGGAATGGAGGGCGCTAGTACAACACTCATAAGTATGACTGAGCTTTTGGGGTTATGCGTGTGGTGAGCTCGTATAGGTCTTACATTTCAAATCGTGCGTTTTTCGCGTTCCACTGAATGTCATCTCCTTTGCATATACCGTATCTTCCATTTTAGCCAGGAGTTCAAGTAGAATAACCTCTTCGGTCATCGGAATGACCACTGCAGGGCAGGCACTTCACGTGTGCCAACGGTGTTGCAATCCTTTGCGACTTCATCGTGACTTTGAGAACTTGGAACACGATAAGGTTTTAGCCTTAGTAGGTAAGCGGTTCCATGTTTGCATTTTGTACTGGATTCTGAATGTCACTTTTGTGGTCAGATCTTGGAAACTTCACCAGTCGTATAGAAAACCTCTCTGAAATGCTAATTTTTCGATTGATTCCAAATTTTTCAATATAGTGGAATCTAGGATATTTAGATTACTTGAGGGTCTGCGGTGCGAAGCCTTTTCATGACAAGCTACTGTAGACATAATATAAGTAGCACGACTGTTTGGCGTTTTTTCAGCAATCCACCAAAATGACTAGCACAAAGCTCACCTTGTTCGCTATTGATATATTTCATTTCTTTCTCCTTTTTGCCCCTCATCATAACAGTTTTAACACAGTATTGTATCTTCGCCTAATAGACAGTTTTTATAAACACAAAAATTTTCTGCACGGCCGATTTTATCTGAAACTGATTCATTCACAACTTGGTCTTCAGATGCGCAACGTCCAGAACGGGACGACTCGAGACCACCAATCATAATTCCGGTCAAGAATTTCGGTACGGAATATCCACACTATGTGGTTCCTCCAAAGTGGGTACCACCTTTATTTCTGTCTTCCTCTGACTTTTGATGACTAGCACGGTGAACGGGTCATTCCTTTCTGTTCCTTTGTATCATTATTAGATAACCGTTTGCAGTTACAGGTGGATCAAGGCCCGGGGGCTGTAACCTGTATGAGAGTATTCAACCTCAAACCTACTGTTGAACAGTTTATTTGTGGTGCACAAGATGAAGCCACATTACGTCACCTCTTAGATATGAAAGTGAGAGAGACAAGGTTACCCGAGGAAGTGATCCATCCATGTAACATCACTTTTCAGCAATGTGACTGTGTAACTGCTCATTGTTCCTCGTATTAGACCCAACTGTCCCCGAATATTTAGGTGCCCGGAAACAAGACGAGGAATCACTCTGCCTACAAATCACCCACCGCAGCTGTTAAGGTGTACACCATCCCTTACGCTTCCATTAGAATCGGACAAACAGCTGGTTCAAAAACTATAGTCCCTTAGGGCGACTGAGTCTCAAATCAGCTGTTTATGGATATCGTTGTTTCGAAAATGTTTAACAACATATTTGTATTCGTAATCTTTCGCTCGGCCTGTCCCCTGCTTCACTACAACGCCCAACATTGGCCGTTTCAGCGAAGGATAAACGCGGTCGTTGAAAATTCACCTGTAGGGTGTTTCTTAGGTGGTGTTGACTTTTAGTGAGCTAATGCCGTATTCACCATAGAAATTCTGTCAAATTCCTCCCTTTCTCTGACCTGTTGCTGTGATAGAGGCACTTCCGGACTAGACCGTGATACCACTGGACGCTCACATGAAGTGAGGAATCAGCCCAAGAGCTTACTGGAATATTTGATACTATTAGTCAGAGATTTTCTGACTTTTCGACTCTTAGCATGATACGACTGTGTGGTGTAAAGATCGGGTGGGTGGGGGGTGCGGAAGAGAGTCCGCGCAATTCTAGCGTCGAGTTGAATAAAACTGGAACGATTTGGGAGTAAGACTGGTTGATGGAAGACATAGTCTTCTTCAGAGGGAATTCTGACAGAACCATTCATACTACTGGGCATATCCTTCCCTGTGAATGACGTCCTCCTGTTTTTTGCTGTCCACCGCAGTCCTGGGACGACAAACTCCGAAGCCGAGGCACTGTCCCTTCTTCGGCGATACTCTACGCCAGCTGTCGGTTTGGACCATCGACACAAGGTGAGCTTCTTGTTTTTTTTCTATGCACTTTTTATGGTACGAGCTACCACAATGCTAATAGAAAGTTGATGACCCAAAGTTGGCCTTGCAGTCGCTTTTTCCCTGTCGGCGTGTTTTGGGTAACGGTTGGCTTTTACATACGAGCTACTTACTGAAAAGTACGCTTTTAACCGCGAAAAAGGATGTTTGCAGCATTTCAAGACGGAGGTGGGCTACCCATTAGAAGGCACGCATTCAGATAATTCGAACTCGGACAACCGAAAAGGAAGCCGGCAATTTTATCCGTTCACTCACTTGTGTGGGTAGTCCATTACGAAGCGAAACGACCTAGTCTATTTGCAGTGAGAACAGAATTCTGTTTTTCCTCTCTTGAAATTTGAACAAGATTGAAACACTTAGAAAAGGTTTCCAAAGGACTCGTTTCTGAAGGGTTTGTTGAAAAAATCGGTGGATATACAGCTGGATAGCGTTCCGCTTCTGAAACCAAAGCGGTTGTTTCCCATTAAACTGAATTTGGTCTGGATCTACGTGTTCTTCTGTTTCATCCACCTGTCCTTTACCATCTTCAGACGGTACAACCCAACTAACAAAACGTTTGCTGTGGCGCGTGTACAATTAAACAAACGATTTAGCGGTTTCTTTTCCATCTACTGATCGTGTGTTGTAATAGTCTAAGTGGGCCGTTGTGTTAATTAAGAAAGGATGTTCATAGTTAGATCTCTCAATTCTTTCGATGCTGTTGAAATAGGCAACTTTTTTACGAATTTGCGATCACTCTTAGGACCACTTTTAACATCTCTACATGACCATTTATAATTGTGTTCGCTTTTGGTGGTTCCAAAACGTATCATGCTAGTTAATCGTGGCCATCGTTGATGGTCTTGAAGCACGCTGTGTTAGCCAACACGGCCTTCAAGCCTCAGATTTTTCGAGTTAAAAACGCACAGATACTTTTTCGGATTGACAATCAGATCAATAGATGTGTGGAAGAGGAATCCGGAATACTATCCATGGCATGACCAGCTGAATAGAAGCTAGCACTAGCTAGCCGCCTGTGTGTCTAGGGTGTATCACATGAGCGGTGCAAGCCACAAGATGACTCTATGCATCATGGAGCTCAAATTTTCATTAATGGGCCACCGATTGGACATGCTGGTAGCTGAACGGTCACGTCATGCATTCCCTTGAAAACAACAGCCAGATTTTAAAATCTAACGGACGATCAAGCGAGGAAAACTCTCAGATCTATTGGCTATCAGATTGTCTTGGTCATCCTCATGCTAAGTGTTACTCTTTGAATATTACATGCTAAAACACTTTATACCGATACTGCATTCTACATGAAAATACCAGTTAACAAATGCTTATTCGCCGTCTCATCTCCACTATCGACAGGTTGGCTTTTGGTGCAGTAATTCGCATGGGGACAAAGATGTTCAGTTCGCTGAAAGTGTTTTCTAAGGGGATGTTTACCAAAAGAGCACCGCTATCGCTTGAAGTACCTGAAATCCTGAATGACTGCTGATTGCAGGTGCACAACGCCTTTGCTGTAAGGCGTTCCAAAGCCACACGAGCTTTGGGGCGTTGCATGGCGCTCTAGCACATTTGTTCTCTCACAGTATTCATTCTTTTAGTCCTGCTTTCATCCGCATAACATGGTTGTTTCTCCCACTCTTGTAGGTCAGTTCTGCTCTGTTTGACATCCTCAGTGGACGAACAGAGGTTGATCATCCACTGTGTCAGGACTGTGCAGATGTTCTACTGACCGCCAGACAACAGTGTTTGGAATATCAGGAGGAAGAGTTGAATTGCTTGCGGTTAGTGCATTTCACTATTTGTACTGTACGTGCGCTGTACTTCTTGTATTTTGATTGCCCACTGTTAACCGCGATAATGTTCCGGCGAGACTACTACTTATATGTAGTCCGACTACATGGGGCGATTAGTCGGCCTAGGAGGTGGGATTCTTGTTGACTTAGCCGACGTGACCGGTGCGTTTTATTCAGCCATTGTTCGCTGCTCACAGATGATTATACTCAGAAAGTGTTGGACGTCAATAGGGTCGAAGGGCCTCTGCGTGGTTGGGCTTTTCGGAATCCGACCACATCCTAATAGCGTCCGGTGAGAGTTAAGAAGAATGAATTGGTAGGTGTCGGGTTCTTTGCGGGGATCAGTGACTGTAAATAGGAAATGGCTATTCAGAAAGGTTAAACGGTAGAGGTAAAAACGGTCTTCTGTTGGCAAAACAACATATGTACACTATTTACAGGACGAGGGCAGCAGCCAATATGAGGACGTTTATGCAGGAATCCGAAGTCGACCTTTAAGGGTAGACCAGGGTGTTAACCACTGGGCTACCCTAGGCCCAGTCGGAGTAAGTCAAGAGCTCTTTGGACCCAATCAACTGGGAAAACTGGTCGGAAAATGTACCGTTTGCTAACTAAATGGTCGCTATGCCTAATTCAACATATACCTAGAAAACCAGGTTCCTCCTCGCCAGTACCATTCTTTTCGTAAGCTTTTATCGGTTTCACGAGCTGAGGGGAACAGGTAAGAGTGATCAGCAATGTGGATTGCGCACACGCAACTCGATTATAGTTTACAATTTTGGCCTGATCAGTACGGTCTCTCCCAGTCACTCAGCATGCTTATCTATGGACGTTCCAATACGTTCAACTCGCACCTCGAGCTGTGCTCGTCTGTCCTGTACTTTTCTGCAAATCTATCAGATAACCTGCTGGTTTTTATAAGTGTTACAGTAGTGCTGCACTGTCAGCTTTATGCGTTTGTCTGTCCGAACCAGATCTTACATGTCCTATTTGGACGAAAAAGCAGCGCGGGCTGAATCAAAAATCAAATCAGGTGAGACGCGCAATAAGGTCAAAGGATTTTCCGGTTCACATCCACCTGAGAGCTCTCCAGATGCTCTTTGTCCAAAGCCACATGATCAGGATGAGACCGATACGTCTACATCTAATTGGCTGAGCTGTTTGAGTCTTTCAGATCAGCCTGGCACACTTTTCACATTGCCATCAAGTTCCGCTCAACCTTCTACGGTTGATGATGACGAGCTGTCTTCGTCTGAAAGTTTGGAAGGTTGGAGTAGCGCTTCTGAACTGGACGTCGGTGCGGAATCACAAGGGCCTCCTCGTCTGGCATCTGAGTCTCGTTCTGGTGCTCGGCGCCCAAGACGTCGTCTTTCGGAATTACAGAAGGAAGTTGCCGAACTCCAGGCACAATTGACCGATGTTTTGGCAGAAGGAGCAAAGTTAGATCAACAAGTGACGGATTGTACTGCGGAGTTAGCACGGCGGACTGAAGAACTGGATAGGTACGTCAGTGCCCCATTATTTTCCCTTCATCTAGACTTGTGACTCCGTCTAGAAACGAACTTCATAAACTCTAGTTTTCACAGTGCACCACTATTCGAAAAACAGTGGAGTGTTTTCCTGTAGAATCAAGTTTTTATGTGCTACTATTTTAGTAGGGTAAGGATCGGCAAGCACTGTTTCAAACTATCTCCTGATTATTTTCAAATCTGATGGATTATGTTCATAACTGACGTCCCCATATAACCCTTAAACCATTTCTACGAATCTGTTGACAGTCGCATCCTAGTCATAGTCCCAAACAGTTGACTGCGTATTGTTTCGTCATTTAGAGTGAGGTAGCAATCACAAATCCATCGATGAGGCTCAAAGGTGAGTATCGGTGAGAGACGAATGAGTTGAGTTGTGCCTAACACTCCGGAAAAAGCTGGGTGGATGGGGGCTGTCTCCGTACCATTCAATAGCAAGAGAGAAAGTTGCTTGATAAAGTGCTACCGGCTAGGGTTCGGCCATTCAGCTAAGTTGTTATTCTATGAGGTGAGGTAACCGATCGGTCTCTCTATTCATGTGTCATGCACGCTGAGTGATTGTTTTGTTTTCAGGCTCGCACAAACTCGGAGATAGACAGTACATGATTGATCGTACGGCAGTGAAGGATCGGTGTTGAACACTGGTGTCATGCTGTCGATGATGATGATGATGACATGGTTGATCATCCTTGCTCTATTAGTCGAAATACTTCGCATGAATTGAAGTCACGTTTTAATTTTATAGTCAATTTGACTGGTTCTTTAGTTTTCAGTACAACTCTAATGAACCCCTTATGACAGATCAGCAAGTACTTTTGTTGATTTTATCCCACCAGATTGTTTAAACTACACGGTAGTAAACGTCATCGCTGAATGCTGGTGCTTTGCCAGTGACCGTGATCATATCTTCGTTCTGTAAATGCTTCGAACCTATAGTTACCGTTATTCACCCTGTCCCTCTTTCGTTCTTACCCTTTTTTATTTATATATTCCAATGGTTGAGTACAGAGCCCAAACCCAATACAATGAACAAAAACAAAATCTGATCGAGGCAGAAGAGGAGCTTTGGTCACTAGACGCTCGCGTTAAATATGCGAAACGTCATCTCGATCGTCTTCTTCGAACAAACGTTCTCAATACCGTATTCCCAATCTGGTATTCTGGCCATTTCGGCATTATCAACGGCCTGCATCTCGGACGCTTATCGGATCGTCCAGTGAGTGCCACCTGTATACTCCTATGCACCTCTGTGAACGTCCGTTTCGCTGCGACCTGACAATCGTTTTCATGAGCAACCTCAGTTCTCTTTGGAGTTGCGTAGCATAAACGGTTGAGTCTTGTGAGTGGATAGGCGGACCGTATGGTTGATCACAGTTCCAAAGGCAGGGGATACAAGTGGTGTACGAAGCCCGTCCTGATGAAAACTCATAACTCACCCAACAGCACCCAGTCGGCGAAAAGTGCGTACCTTATTCCCCATCGTCCTAGCAAAATGTACGATGTTACACTTATGTCAGCTCGCGTATTGGTTTTCTTCAGGCCGCTTTTCGCGTACTAGGATGTAACCGGTGTTGGACGTACGTACTGATACGACCCCCGGTGAGCTTTTTGTACTAGGATTGATGGATGAGTTGACCTACTATGACTCTCCGGACATATCTGGCACACTTCACTTCTTGATTGATCACCCGGGGAAATACTGTGCACTCCCCCCCAAGAGCCTGATATTCGTAAATTTTGGCCTGTTGTTTACAGACAGGTAAACGAGTCCTCTGTTCGCGACGTTTTCACCATTGTTTACTCCATATCGGCACTCCACTCACTGATGCTCCAATTGAACCATCTCTACTTCTGCCGCATCAGTCCACTTGAGTTCGTAAGTTGAACTTCACTTACCACCTTTTGTAGGCAATGGTTTACGTTTGCACAGAATCTCGTCCATTAATCCTTGTTTTTCAGCCAAAATTTCTCACCGTTGCCTTCTAGGTTAGCTGGGATGAGATCAATGCCGCCTGGGGTCAGTGCGCCATGTTACTTCAATGTATTGCGCGGAAACTGAATTACACTTTCCAAGGGTGAGTGAGCAACTTCCAGTTCACGCTGCCTCGAAGTCTAGACAGACTAGTTTCTTTCGTTTGTCTGATGAGTAGCGTTGTAGTCGAGTTGTTGGATGACGATTGTCATGATTCCTTTCAGCGCGCCCGGTCAGAAAAACTCATTGTTTCCAGAGACTTATTCAAAATTCTTCTCACTCAAGCAGCCACAGTTACAAGGAAAGAAGCAATCTAGGCTGAGAAACATTGTACCTTCTTAAACCCGTTGCTCCCTCCACACAATAGGTGAACTAGGTGTCAAAAGAACACTATCGCAGTTTGTTGGAAGATGAAGGCTTCAATCCTGATAAAAAGACCCAACTTCCGTCTTAAGCTGAACGCACAACCTGCGTAAAGGTGCGCATCTCAGAATCTTCGGCACTTTGATGAAGCATGCACACATTGCGCGAGCTTTGATGGGCAACAAGATCGACTTCTGACCTTGTCTTTTTATTTTAATGTTTCTAAAATGCGTTTCTTTGTTAGTACAAAATCTATGCATATTTGAGGAAAACCGAATTCAAGTTGCCTGAACCCTTCTTTCCATAGTAGTTGTTCCAGAAAAGTTGGTTGGAAGGTTTCGCCCTATGCAGCATCGGGGGTGTCTGATGATGAATGCCTGTCGGTTGAAACACTCAGCACCCAATATCCACGCCTCTGAAGTTTTCCTGTGGCTGCGTTACCCTTTTAACAACTTGTTTCACTGACTGTCTTACTCAATGTAGGACAATTTTTGCAACCTCATGTAGGTTGGCAGTCCAAACTTGTCGAATCAAACAAATATTCATGATAAGACACGCGGAGGCTCGCTCGTCAAAGGTTGTTGCGTTATGAGACAGCTTTGGAGTCCACAAGGTACATTCTCCCCTCTTCGTCGGCAATGCACGAAAGGTATTAATTCGTCGGTTCCGTTTGCAATCACCTTTTCTAGACGAATTATCCAGGTCACGTCTGGAAGATTGTTTCATCATGGCTATGTGATCTGTGTTACAAGGATCTGTTAGGATGTGAAAACTTTCCTGACATTTATCAAGGCTACCATGCAATGATTGATTAGGAAGGCACGGATAGTCTGCGTTCGGGTGGGTGGCAGTGTATGCCGGAGCCCTACTGTTTTGGTTCCGCCTCCGTAGCCTGTTAACCTCTGTCTGCCTGTCTACTTTTGCACGGCTTAGAAATGTGATCCAACTATGAACATTCGGCACCCTTTCACGATGGTTTATTTATTTGCATGGCCTATTCCACGCAACGGACACCAGATCTGCGTTATGTATCCCCATCATCCGCTCTTTATAATCAACCTACACCCATAACGTGGAAAACACCTTTTCCAATGGATTTAACGATATTCGAATTGTGCCAGAGGCATTTGGTGCGATGATCTGTTTGTCCAACAACGTATTTGATACAAGCATGCAGACCGTCACCGATCGGATGCCTTCCTCACTAGTTCACAAGCATTTACGCTTCCGATTCGTCGTGCAAAATACCCCCCCCTGGTAACGAATAGACTACGCAGTGTTCCTACTTTATTGCCGCTGGTCCTGGTTGAAAGACTACAAATTGACTCTCAACGGCGTTCTGGACAACTAGCTGCTTAGTTTTGTGGTGAGACAGAGCTCTCCAACACAATTTAAAAAAAATAAATCGCCCAGCTGTAACACCCTTCCGGTGCCTAGCTGCCATGCTACCCGAAGGAAGCACGAGGGCCGGGATACTGCTAGGTTGTCCAAGCCTAGACAGGGGAAGTCGGGGGAGAGGTCGGGTTCGAACCAAGAACCTTCCGGTTAGTAACTTCGCACTCTAAACACCTGAGCCATCTCGCCCCCCCCGCCTCAACACAATTAGTACCCCCCACCTATTTGTGAACTGTGTCTGAATATGTCACCCTAGAGTTCGCTGCTTTGTAAGCTATTTCGCGTCGGTTTTGTTCACACTGCAAATGATCCAGTTATTGTCTTGTTCTGAAAAATAGCCATATTTCTGTTTTATCCCTCTGTTGAATCATACAGGCGCGACAAAACGGTCTGATTGTGTTGGTTTAAACTCTCGTTGATTATTCTAACGAAATAAAAGACCATGGCTGTTATAGCATTTCAAGCATCTGCACCAACGATCCATGGGTATATTTTGTTTTATTCCTTTGATAACTGCTCCTGATTGGTTTTTGTCTTTTTAAGTGTTATTCATCCTGATTTGTCATTCTTCCGCGAGGTTGAGACATACGAAACGTAGGTTCTTTTGGACATATTGATCGTCCAGCGTGCGGCAGTTTACCTTTCACAGCTCGTCATTAAACAAAACGTTGTGGCCGGTACCATTAGCCTCTGTCCGATGACGTGCAAAAGCTAGATTAGTGAAGACTTTTTTCCGTACGGCGGACCTAGTCCAGCACATAGTATGGTTTAGAAGTAGGAAACATTGCTTCAGACTAGGTCTACCAATGTGCTTGATCGTTTTATCTCAACTAATGAGTTCGATCGACATCCTTCTCAGAAGACGTCATCACTTTCCGAAACAACTGCCTTGTTTTTTGAAATGTGGCAGGATATCGTAGGTTTTCAAACATATGCCTGCGATAGGCCATGCACTTGACGTTGTTTTATTGTAGCCTCACCGGTCCCACGAGTCAATCCACTCTTTATAACGCGATGTATTATCGATCTTTGTTATATTGCGGAACGTTTTGTTTTTGGGACCGAATTAATTGGAATGTAACGTCTTTGCGACTGCCTTATTCTCAAGGAACCTAGTAAAAGAGCGTTCGTAACATCCAGAGCGAGTCTCGGTAGACATCCGTCTAGTTGCTTGACTTCTTGTTACATCCACAGACGGATTGTGGGACGTAGCAGAATGTAACGGAATGTTCTTTCTGAAGTCACTGTTTATCTTATCAGCTTGTTTATTTTGTCAAAGATGATTGTCCTTTCTATAAACTGTGCCCTCAATTACGCCCACCTTGTTTGTGTTTACTCTGTGTGTTATAGTTACCGCGTCGTTCCGCTCGGAAGTCAGTCAAAAGTAGTCGATTCAGCAAATGACAAAGAATATCCTTTGTACTATGCGACAACTGGGAGGCAGTTGTTTGGATTTTCAAAGTAAGTATGGTGTGCGGACTCAATCCGGTTTTTGCCTCCGTTTCGTCCCACGGTGGTGTGGCCGATCATTCGAACGTTTTATTGTTCGTTTGTTCTCGCACATGACTGACTCCCAGTTGTGTGTAAATGCATGTTAATCTCGGGCAAAACCAGTTTCGTCCTGCTCCTAAAATCCATCGCCTTGAAACAGTCTAACAGCTATCGAGCAATACACTCATTTGCAAATCAATTTGGTTTTCACGGGAGAGTCAATTGAACCTCTCGTTTATGATGTCCTCCAACTGAATGTGCTGCACACAGGCTGCCTCATGATTCGGTTGGCACGATATTCGAGATATCGCAGTATATTTTCATGAAGGAAACTACTCACAAGGTTGCTGAAAACTCTTCGACAGCCCACGACCGGTTTCGCCCTTCTTGGGGCTCATCAGACAGGCGCAGTCCCCGAGTTTCCGTCAACCTTATGAAGAGTTTCCAGCAACCTTGTGAGTAGTTTCCTTTATGAAAAAGTTTAACAGCTACTTTTACTAAGGTACGTCTATCATTGGCTAATCTATATCAAACCGTACACCACGTATGGACTCGCCGTTCATGAACGTCGTAGAAACTGTTAGTGGATGTAGTAACGGTATTTTCCTCAGNATGCTGTCGTTGATGATGATGATGAAGCAATAGCTCTGTTGTATTGTTTAGCTATACCCAATTGTGCAGTGTTGCTTCTCAGTTCAAACGTGTTCTGAACACAGTGTACAGATTGTCCCAAGCCTAATCCAAAGATGGGCAGGCAATGTTTGAAGTGGCCCTATATTTGGCGTCCTTTCTGTTTGCTAGTTTCCAAACTTACACCAACGGATAGCTAATTTGATCCTTCTTTTTCACTTCAGTCTGGGCAATCGAATCCGGATTCAGTGTTTGATGGCCGTGCGAATCAAGGTTCAAACGACCGAGCCAACGTCTTCATCTCCTCACAGTCTCAAATAAATCTCCCCATGTCGGCAAGCAACCAGTTTACTGACCAAAAGGTCCCATCCACTACCATGATCACTTACATCCTTGTTGGCATCGGTTGCCTCGCCGTCGTACTTTTTATCATCAACGGAGTGATTTTAATGCTAGTTCGACGTCGACGTCAACAGCGCGATCAAACATCTCGATTGGGACGTTCCGCGTCGGTCAAAGTTAAGAAGGGACCTCTTGACCTGTACAACGTGGAAACTAATGACATCACAAAACCCAGTGGTGCGCTTCAATATTACTCCGCAAGGTCACCCCATAACTGTCGGCCAGAGACCTATCTACCAAGCTATTCTGATGGTCATGGTTGCCCACTATTGATGGAAAGTTCTTCACCCTGTCCACCAGACGTGGTTCCGCTTGCAGCTGGGCTTAGTTGTAGCAGCATGGGCAGTGCTAACAGCGCTGCAATGGCTGGTAGTCTGAAGCAGTCCCTTCTGATGGAACCAACTATGAATCCATACATGATTACCTCAGACGCTTCATCCACCGGTCGGTTTCACACGCCATTAAACTCACAGTCTCCGAATATGGGCCCCTGCAACATGCCGCTTGCTCATCCAGTGGGAATGCAAGTGAATATGTCGAGTCCAAAAGGGAACTGGAATCAACACCCTGCTAGCTTCAATGCCAAATATTACCAATGCCTAAATTCAGGGATACCACATGCGCCACCAATGCCACTTGGATGGCCTTCTCATCATTCGCCGACGGCTAGCAATCCATGCAATATCGGTTACACCAGTGGCCTTGGATCAGTTGGGACAGCGGAAGGTTGCAGTGATGAGGGTGTGGCATCTGGATTTGAGGTGATTAGTCTTTCCCAAGAGCTTGTGCATTCTGTTGGGAAGGAAGACAATAATTTCCAGCACGTGATCAGTTTTGGCTTGCAACCACAACGCCAACAGTTTTGCGGTATTGCTCGCAGCATCACAGGAGGCACAAACAGTACAAACAGCGCTGGAAGTACGAGCGGGGCGCTTCCAAACCGTACGTTAACATCAGCTTTTAAACGTAGTCCAACGAGTGGGATCGGAGCAGGTAGTCTTAGTGGGGAAAGCAGTACAGGAGAATCAAACGAATGCCGTCAGAAACTTAGGCGACCCGACTCAGTAGGATTGTCTGATTTGGATCCTAACACAAGGTTAAATCATTTTTCCATTGGTTCTCCTGATCGAGTCTTTGTGCGAAGACAAACCAGCTCACCTCAACAGTATCCCGTAGACAATTTAAAGCCAACCTTGCCATCAGAAGATCCTGATTCCAACCATCTGACTCGGTCAAGTCGCTCGAATCAGATGTCAGAAAGCTTCACAAATTCCGTGTCTGTGGTACAGCGTTCTCCCCACAATATCAGGAATGTCTGCCACAAGAATCTAACCACGTCTGGTCAGCCTAGTTCCACCGAACGCCTGGAGTCAGCCGGGATAAAGTACACCGATACCAAGGCGTCCAGTCATGAAAACATGGGCTATTGCTTGGCTGATGCATTTGTCAAGTCAACCGAGGATCGAGTTTCCAACGAATTTGATGATTCTCCTGTCCCCTTACCGCCAGTCTTACTCCTCAACAGTCAGGTACGTTTTGACGCGGCATTGTCTTCACAAAATCAAAGCGCTTTTAACAATCCTGGAGGAGCGCATTCAGTGCCAGAAAATCGGATTCCATTAGGTTCATATAAACGTAGTGAAAGTTTTGGGATGGCAACCAAGCAAACCGCGAGTAATATTCCACTGGCTCAGTTGACCACCATACCCTACTCACTGCTAACGGCGAAGTGCAACGGTGGTGCACAATTCACGAGTTCTGTGGATGAGATGGTTGGAGACATGTCTGATGAGGTCAGCTCTGAGTCGAAAGCCAGTTCGGCATTCAAGAAAGAGGCCAGTCCGTTCACAGCGACCAAATTGCTTCCAACTAGTCAGGAACTCTTTACAAATGACGTGTATTTGCATAAAATCCCCGCGCCGGAATTTTAATTCCCAATCAACCCGTCAGCAAATTGGCGCACGTTTATGCCTTCCATTTTTGGTTCTAATGTATTAGGTACCAATTAATTGCTGACTTCCCGGAAAGCAAACTATTTGTTTCTATCTTCAACTTCGTGTACCGTATTTTATAGTACGGATTATACTTCTCACTTCATTTGTGCATTTGATATTCAGAGCCTTATGTAAATATTACACTTCCTAGCCCAAAGGTGACTGCAGCGGTGAGGTTGATCTCATATCGCTCTGTTCATCTCCTTTTTGGTTCAACTTTGTTGGTTTTCATTGCCATGTATTTTTTCAAGTGATCACTGCTATTTATGTGCGGTATTGTTTCTCTTCTAGGTCCTGCATATAGCTTCTACGAAATAAACTCCGTTTTGTACATGATGAATTCGGCGTTTTCACATATATTTGGCTTACGATAGAGGTTTAGCATTAGCAGTCGTCAGATCTCCACTGACGCGACGTTCGTCCGTACCATAGTTTTTCTCAGTTAGTTCTCTTGCGGGCACCACATTCCATCGCAAGACGATTGGTGGACTCTGTGGTGTGTTGTCATGATACCCCTTTAGCGAAACCGAAGTGGAGATCCATATTCCTTCATAGTAAGGCCTATACATACTGGCGTAGCCAACATCCATACCGAATTTACACTGTAATAACCGAATAGACCGTTATATCGAGGCAATTTTGTGGTCTTCAACAGAATGATGTGCATTTTATGGCTGTTGCTAAGTTAACTGAACTCGCTTGTTTGTTTGCGAACAGTTCAGCTCAGAGGACAAACAAGTGGCCATCCACATAACCTTAAATTTTGGCTTCTCAATAGGGAGTGCGTACTAAAATCGCAATGATGATCTAGTCTCTGATCTTCATAGTGATTTTTTATCATGGCACTGAACGTCCAAATCACCAGTACGGTGTCTCATCTTTCACCGGTCTTCCTATGAGTATCAGAAAGAAATGGACGAACAGGTAATTAGAGTCAGTCCGAGTAACGTTTGAATGAAAAGGCCAGCTTGTCTGTGGGTTCCTTTTAGTGCGCGCCCATTGTAGCTTATGTTGTTCGGACACACCGACTGTCCGGATAACAGTTCGTTTCTTTCTAATACTGATATGCTCACAGTCAGTCAGCTTTGGACAACACAATGCGGATTTATTATGACCCTCGTTTTTGCCAGTGACAGTCCAAACACCCTTCGTTAGGCTTACAACTGCTAGAATAGTTTGAGAAAGTGGATGCCATAACTAGTGTGTATGTGGCCTGTTTTGTTTTTATTATCTCAACGACATTGGGGGTTCAAGTCTATTTCCGACGACCCGTGGTGGACACTGCTTGTTTTATCTGGTCGATCCTCTTGCAGGATCGTTATTCGCCCCAACGCTTTCAACAGTGAATCGCCTTAAATTTCACATTTCTTGGTGGCCTAATTTCGGAATTACCATATCAGTTTTGAAGGCGGTAGAACAGTATTCAAACTTTACATCAAACTACATATCAACGTGGGGATGCTCGGAACTACCTTGCTGCCAGTTTCTTATCATTCCGAACATACTTTAAGGAAAGCATTGTCATTCTCGTAAATTGGCTATAGGGCCCTGATAATCCAGAACGGTCGTCGTGTTACTATGTGTGGCGGCTTCCGTGCTATTAATCGGGTTCCTAAAAACACGTACGGCAGCGAAGCATCGGTGTTGAATACTGATGTCATGCTGTCGATGATGATGATGATTCTTAAAAAAGCTCTCAATATCTACGACGTGATTGTGGACATCAGTGCGAACGAAGAAGTTGAAAACTATTTTGTTAAGGTAGCCTCTTTTTTCTGAGTCAATCAACGTGATATATATATATATATAT